TATGTATCAAGTTTGATAAACGCCATTTTATACACGAATTTAATTTAGGCACGAGCGAGCTTGCGAGCGAGTGCTTAAGTTAATGAGTGTATAGAAAAGTTTATAAACGAGGTGCATACTATACTTTTTCTACGACAAATACTTATTATTATCTTAAAATTATTTAAATCAAAAATTTGTATAGAGCGCCATCTATAAACCAAAGGGGAAACTGTCAAATGTCACATTTTTACATTATATAAACACAATTATAAAGGTTATAAATCGAAATGTATCTTGAAAATTGACAGTTTTTCACAGTGAAAGTAAAGGAAATGTTTTATGAGGACTTTACAGTAGAGTCCGTGCCCGAATTTAAGTTATAGTTAACTGACGGCGAAATTAAAAGGTCAGTACAATGTTCATATAAACTTTTCAAATATTGGCGTTGAGAAACTATTTAATATTTTTGTATTTTTGTATTGAGATAATAAAATAATTTTCACATTTAGTATTATTTTACAAGAAAGGCACTTTATTTTAACGATTGTATGACATTTGACAACTGTCAACTAACTTAAAACTAACTTCAGCCCGTGACTAAAAACCTGTTGCCAACTTGTCAATGTGTATTTAAAAGGTCACTTAGTGTCATGGAAACATGTACGATAAAGGGCGTTTTAAAGGTGGAAGTAGAAAAAATGTTTTTGTTAAATCTATAGTTGTGTGTGAATTGCGCAGCGCAATTTGCGCTTACATAAAGTAATGCGCAGTTGTTATAGTAAAATTTGTTCATTGTACTATGGCATATTTTTAAATTACTATCGTTGTAAGCCAAATTAATTTTATTTCAGTTAGAAAATCTTTGTTAATAGCTTACGTTAAGAACAATAACAAATATATTTTGTTGCTATAAAAAGACTTTTTTAATATTAACTATTGTTTTGCAATGGTAAAAAAATTTTTGTTATTTCCCTTAAAAAGAGGGGGAAAGGGCCAGCGCTCTCCTTGGTGAACATAACTTTATAATCCATAGTATGTGTTATAATCTTGATTTCACTTGTGCGAGTGAAGTGTGGTAAAATCTAGCATGATAAAAATATCAAAAAGATCAATAAGAAAATTAAAATTTCGACGTTTTCTAAAAGAAATAGTTAAGGTCTATTCTATAAACGAAGCAGACTTGTTGTTTAAAAAGTGAGTTCGTATTTTTTTTATTTTGTACATCATATAATATGAGTTAATTTTTTTGTTATAATAAATAATTTGTTTTAATGCCTTGCAATTATTAAAAAAAACTACCCAACACCCAACAGTAGGTTGAAAATGTGACCATTGTTACAATGAAAATAGTTTATTGAATTAACAATTAATTTGTTGTTAAATTTACATAAATTTTATTAATATTATAAAAAAAGTTTTATTTTAAACGAAAAGGGATTTGTAAAATTTAAAAAATTTCTATGAATAATAAGTTTCATTAATACTACAAAACGTTCTTGTAAACGGTATAGAACTGTTTTTTTTGACAAAAATAAAAACTATATTTATCAATGCCTTTCTGCATCTGGAAGAGTGTTATTTTTATAAACATAACGTAAATTTACTTTGTAATTAATGCAAATGCTATTACTGAAAGCGGCGTTTGTAGATAAATAATTTTTATAAAAATGATCTTTTTGCTGTAACAAAAGCAATTTTTGGACGAATAGGGATCTTTACTTTATTAAGAGAAACTGCTTTTTTTGGTATATTTAGTGCAGCACTAGTTGATATTATAGATATTCTATATAAAAAGTTAGATAAGAGTGAAAATGTTATGGCGGTGTTTCTTGATCTTTCAAAAGCTTTTGATTATGTGGATCAAAACCTTCTTTTAAAAAAATTGAATATTTTGTCAATTATTTGTTAAAATCGTATCTAATGCACCGCAGGCAATTTGTATCATTAAAAAAAGAGGTTGATGTGGGTGTTCCCCAAGGTACTGTACTAGGGCTACTCTTGTTTATATTATACTTTAATGATTTATATAATTATGCCATATTTATTTTCGAAATATTGAAATTTGTTAAAATAAACCTAAACAAATTTAGTTTACAAAATTGTTATCATAATTATTCAACCAGACATGATAACAATTTACAATATTGCAATCAGTCTGACATCTAATATTATATTGGAGCAATTTTATACAATAAATTACCTGATTGTTTTTTTACTTTTTATTGTGTAGAACTTTAGTAAAAGTACAGTCGTAATAGGTATAATTTTGAGGGTGAGGCACGGTCTGAGACCTACCCTGACGAGCCGCCACTGGAAATCACTGCAGAGAGATGAGCTTGATATCGTGTCGGATTTATAATCCGAAGGTTTAATGGGAGCCCCATCAACATTAATTAAATCCACACACTTGACCAACTGTTTGGTAAGCAGATTTAAAAACGTAAAAAAGCTTAGGGGAATAAAGCCATTATTCGATTCGATGTCCCCTTTTTGACACATATCAGTGACTCGTAAAGCCATCCGGAGGTAAACACAGTCACAATAGAAATGTTTTTATTATATAGCCGCCCTTGTATTTATATAAAAATAAAAAAATGATCATATGGCCCACATAATACCATATGACGTTGAGCTGAAAGCTCCCATTGATTGGATTTAAATACATTAAAAATTGATCGGGTATTTATAATCGATTATTGACAATAAAACATATCTTACGATCACAAAATTAATAAATTATGAAGCTGACAGAAGACATAAGTTTCGTTTCAGATTCAAAGTCTGCATTTCTAGATAATATTTGCCCTTTCGTAAAAGGTAACGTTCATGAACTTTATTATAATTGTAATTACTGTTATTTTCTAATTACTGAATGTACACCTTACCGTAGCCATATCGTGTTCACCGTTTATATTATTACAATTCGATGGAATATTTATTGGTATTAACAGTGTTTTCTGTAATTTACAAATAACATTATAATGTTGCAATAGTTTTCTTCTGCATTATTAGAAATTTATTTACAAACTAGTATATCGTAATTCATATTTTTAGTACCATTAAATTCCATTGTACACAATAGTAAAAGCGTTGATTGAAGATATCTCTTCACTCATCGGTATACGAGGTGTGTTCAGAAAATAACGGAAATTGTTAAATTTCGCGGGTTCGGAGGGTCGGGTTGTCATAAAATTTTCTTTATTATGTTGGTATACATTCCCCCGAAGTATGATAAAAACTTTAGCTGTTTTCATTGTTTACTTTGTCTGTGGCAGCCGCTAAGGTTAGACGTGTTTTATGAGCTCGGCGATTTTTCGTTCGTTAAAAGAAATGGATCAAAGAATTTGTATCCAATTTTGCTTAAAAAATGAAATAAATTCTGTGAAATGTTAACAAAGGCCTATAGTGAGTCTGCTATAAGTAAAACAAGAGTTTACTGGTGGTATAAGAGTTTCCAAGATGGCCGTGAAGACGTTGAAGATGACGAACGCCCCGAACGCACAAGCACATTAACAACCGATAAAAACATGGAAAAGTGGAAGAAATGGTTATAAACCATCAGAGAAGTCGCTGATGATGTTGGTATATCGATTGGCTCATCCCATGAAATTTTTTCGAATATTTTGGGTATAAAACGCGTGGCAGCAAAATTTGTTCTAAAATTGTTAAATTTTGAACAAAATTTTTGTCCAAAAACAATACTGTAATGATGCCCCAGCCTCCATATTCGCCAGACATGCCTCTGTCTGACTTTTTCCTATTCCCAAAAATAAAGAGAACCTTAAAGGGCCGTCGTTTTGCAAGCATAGATGACATTAAAAGCGCATCGCTGAAAGAACTAAAGGCTATCTCAAAGATCGAGTTTTAGAAGTGTTTCGAGTATTGGAAGAAGAGCTGGCACATGTGCATAATATCCAATGGGGCGACAACATTAATGTAGACGAATAAATAAATATTTGTTTCAAAAAACGAAAATTCCCGATATTTTCTGAACACACCTCTTAAAGGGTTACCATAGTTTTTTTAGAAACTAATTGAATTTTTGCAATACTGTATCCCTTAAAGAAAAACGATTGGATAATTAAAAAACAGATAAGGTACCTACTTAATAATGTAAAATATAATAGGGGAAGAGAAAGAGAAAATGGTTTTTAAACCTATAAAAATAATAAACGTGACCCTTATTATTAAATTAATCCATAAACTATAATTTATGGGTTTACCGATTATATTGTTTACCATACAATTTATTAAGCATTATATAATGATGATAAATTGGAAATTTTGACATTAAAACTTACAACATTATTAAATTTAAAGCAGATATTTTAAATAATTAATTATCTTTGTAGTGGTATGGTAACAAACAAAGTTAAGTACATAGTAGTTCGTCACGACATATTAAACCGTAAAAAATAATTAAAATTTTATACCCACACACAGTGAAAAAGTATATGTTAATTTTAACCAAATAATAACCAGATTTAATGTTACGTTTAAAACAAACTATAATTTGATAACTAAGTACATAAGTAGTTTGTTATTATTACAGACATTTTGTAGTTTTAATAACAAAATTCTATGTCAATAACTGAAACATAATTCTCGTTTACAAAACTTTCGGTAAAATATTTTCCTTTGTTAAAATAAGTACAAACCCTGGTTTTCTACAAAAAAATATGTTTGAATTTTTCAAAATAAAATTAACAAACTACAAACTTAGGTTAACAAATCTGGTTTTTATAACAGTGTAGTTATAATGAATCGAACAGATTTCCGGTAATATATTATATACAGTATTAACACATTAGTAATACATTTTAAACACTCAAGCTGTTACAAACACTTGGTTTTATACTGGTTTTATACGGGTTTTATACCGGTTTTATACTGGTTTTATATTGGTTTTATACAGGTTTTATAATGGTTTTATAATGGTTTTATACTGGTTTTATACAGGTTTTATAATGGTTTTATACTGGTTTCATAGAATGTTTAAATTTTTAACTTTTTTTCAGATCTAAACTACTGTGGAACGCACGAGCCATGCTTGAACGGCGGCACGTGCGAAAACACTGCCCCCGACAAGTATTTTTGCACCTGTCCCGAAGGTTTTTCCGGTGCAAACTGCGAGGTGGTGGACAACCCCTGCGCCCCAGCACCGTGCCTCCATGGGGGCACTTGTTTAGAAGCAGGGGGCTCCTTTAACTGCGAATGCGGACCCGGCTGGACAGGCCCCACCTGTAACATCGGTAAGTAGCTATTTTGTCGTTTTAAAGGAGTTCTAGTTATAAGTCAATTTATCATCAGGTTGTAACTATTATTACTGCCAACATTATAAATGTTATATATCATTAAAACATATTGAAAATTTGGCCTCCACGAAGTCCAGACCTAACTATTATGGATTTTTTTATGGGGACGGTTTGAACTAACGGTCTACTTTTAGAAAATTACTTCTTAACTTGATAACGTTGATAAATGTTCATGTCATCATTTTTTTCTGATGTGGTTATTACTGGATTGTTCTTTTTACGAGATAAAGCAATTACCTTTAGTCATGCAATCCGTTCAATTTTTTATCAATTATTTATGAAATTCGATATTTTTCCGGATTTAAACGCAATGTTCATCAGAAGTCAATAAAAAAATCGATTATAAAATTACAGTCATGAAAGTTCTTTAAACTAGCTAAAAGTGTTAATGGCATCCACATATAACTGAGATAATTACTTTCTACACATGTTCCGAGGTAGAATCTACCTAATGAATTCCATTAGACTTGTCCCATATTAATAATAAAAATGTTTAATGTTTTGTATCAATTACCATCCCATTTATTGTACATCCTGCCATGTTACCACATTCGAAGCTGATTAATTGTGAAAGTTTGTCTAAAATAGGATCGAAAATGTAAATATGCAAAGAACATTGCGATATGTTTATTTGAATCTGGTTTGTATGCATTTACTCTATACAAGCAAGTTATTTAACAAGTCATCAATATATCAACGGGGCCATGCAAATAAATCTTGCCATGATCTCGGTTTCCTTGAAATACCGAATTATTCGCGAAAATGAAATTATTTCCATATCAAACAGGTTGTGTTAATTTAGATCAAATACCTCGTTATGTAATATTAATTCATTTCACAATAAATATCACCATTAAACTAATTCTCTTGCAACGCAGTTCTTATTGTTTTTTCTCTTATCGTACCGAGGTATCTCAATGGAGAATATGGATTCCTCAAGAGTGAGACGTCAGCTATCTGGGTTATTAATTGATTCGTTACTAGAACTGACAATTAGACTTCAAAAGACAGATGATGGCTTGACTACTTTAGGACATCGGTATTTTCTCAGAAAATTCTCGTCCAATTAAAGAATAAGCAAAAGATATTTGTTATTTATTGTAATTTATACCATTTACCATCTACTACGCATTGCTATTTAGGTTAGGACAACCAAAGTATTTGTTGGAAATTGGGAACTTAAATGAGAATAATTTTGATAAGGAATGTTGCTTTATTAATCATTTTCCTAAACAATGTATGATGTATTTCGTAACTTTAACCCAGTTCAATGTATCCTCTAATTTCAGTTTGAAAACCAGTGATGGCATATTTTTTCGGACACTTCGCACTTTGCACACTCGTTAAATATGATTAAGGAATCCAAATAACAATAATAACAGATTTCTGGTTCTGGACAGTTGTTACAAACACGTTACGAATTAGAAGTAAGCAGAAACATAAGTTGCAGACGCTGAAGTCAGTTGAACTTGTTGAATCAACAATGTTGATACGTATTGTCAGTGGACAATTTTTTGATTGACTGCCTGAAATCACGTGTACTTTTTCAACGAAATATTTTGTTAAACATTAACAAAATAATCTATAACCAGTGTATCTAATTTGTTTATTATTATTGGTCTTCGACAATAGCTACTTATTTTTTTGTTATTTATTCAAATAAAGTTATTTGGTGGGCGTAGTTTATAAACATAGTCATTCATCTAAGGTCTCTATCAAAAGATTTTTTTACCTGTCAGTTCCTGGTGGGTAGTCAGCATTGTTCGCACCTCACAATGCTAGAATGGACTAAGTTTATTTTATTATTTAGTTTTCTAAAATTTCACACCTGAATATGACGAATGTATTATTTTTTAAATAGTATTGTATCTATTTGGACACAACTAAGATGCAGTGAATCTTTTTGGGGAAGTATAGGAAAGATAAGAGCTGCTAGAGCTCGGAATTCGTGTTGAATAGGTGGCAGCACTGGTGGAATGCGGGGTCAAAGTTGGAGAAGCGCATCGTTCAGGCGTAATTAAGTTTCCCCGCGATCGGAGCGCTCCCTACAACTAATAGATATAATAACGGGGCGGGGAGCTAGGTAATTGTTGGGTACGTTGCTGATTTATACGGACCGAGGCCGAGAATCGTATCTCTTCTACTTCTTCTTCTTCTTCTGCATGCGATAGAGGCCAGCAAACTCTTGATCAACTACCAGAAAAGTGGACACTCGGTGATGACTTTAATGAAATCAGAAAATCCTTATTACACAAACATTTCAATATCATAAGAAAAGAAAACTTATTCTTGTAGAAGGTAAATCGTTATTTTATTCAAAAAGCTGTGTTTTCGTGTAGGTAGTTCTGTGCCTGTGTAATTTTCACAAAAATTCGGCAGTAGATAGGAGAAAGTGAAGACTGAAAATAATAGTTTTGAGTCGGGAGTTGTTTTGGTACCACGCCTTTCATGTTGCCATCAAACGAAACGCAGACCTGTTATTTTCCGAGAAGAAAATTAATTGAGTTTTTTTAAACGCCGCGTTAAGCGTTTCTACCGACTTCTATAATGGATACACAAGTCTCGACTACTTCAGTAAATGATAGTTTGTCTACCGTGTCCAAAATTGTTCTCTATAAATTGTTCAAATTAAGAAGAATGGTTTCCCATCCCATTTTACTCAAATATGATTAAAGGATGTTTAAAACGATTACCTATAAGCTAAAATAACATCAATAACACAATCTAAATTGAAATCATGTTAAAATGACAAAATAAAGACAAATTTAAATGAAACCAAGCTAAAATGATAACATGCTAAAATGAAGATATAGTCAGCAAATATCATTTTGGATGTTCTTCATCATTATATCAAACTAAATAAAATACCATTTTAAAGAAATTCAAAGAAATATTGAATTGTAACATTTGAAATAAAATTGACATCATGCTAAAATTACAAGCTAAATTATTGACAAGCTAAATTAAGATCATGCTAAAATGACTACAAGATAAAATAAAGGCAAGCTTAAATGACGCAAATCTAAAAGAAGACGTGAATAACAAGCTTAATTGACACCATGTCGACAAGATAAAAATGATTACAAACTAAAAGCGAAATCGACAACTAGATTGACTACAAGCTTAAATAAAAGGTTAAATTATCACGTCAAACGAGTACGTAAATTACAAGTTAACACCATTCTAAAATTTTGACAAGATAAAATGATGAAAATCCAAAAGAGAACGATATAAATATATGAAAAAAAGCTTAATGATGAGAAACTAAAAAAGAAAGAATTAAAACTACCAGCTAAATTGACAACTAGCTAAAATAATGAAATTGAAATCACGTTAAAATGACGACAAGATGTAATAAAGAGAAGTTCAAATGGAAAGAAGCTATAATGATAACATGTTAAATGAAGACAAGCCTAATAAAATAAAATGTTAATGAAAATCATAGAAATATTTAATTGTCACATTTGAAATAAAATTTACATCATGTTAAAATTAAAAGCTAACTTAACATCATGCCAAACTACTAGACTAGTAGATGAAATAAAGGCAAACTTACATAAAAACAAGCTTAAATGATGCAAATCGAAAGGAAGACGTAAATGACAAGCTTAATTGATACAATGCTAAAATGTAGGCAAGATAAAAATGATAACAAACTAAATGGGAAAGATTAAAATGACAAGCCAAATCGACAAGCTAAAATAGTGATAATTTAAATTGAAATAATGCTAAAATGACAACAAGATTAAATAAAGACTAATTCTAAAATTTTAACAAGATAAAATGATGACAAACTAAAAGAGAACGATATAAAGATATAAAAAAGACAAGCTTAAATGATGACAAGCTAAGTCGAGACCATTCTAAAATTTTGACAAATAAAAGAGAATGATATAAAGATATAAAAAAGACAAGCTAAATTGACAACAAGCTTAAATGATAACAGCATGAAAGATTGACACCAGGCTAAAAAAAAGACAAGCTAAATTAACATCATGCCAACAAGATAAAATAAACACAAGCTTAAAAAACTTAAATAATGACAAGCTAAAAGAGAACATAAATGAAAGCTAAGTTGACAATATTCTAAAATGTCGAAAAGTTAGAATAATGACAAACTAAAAGAGAACAATATAAAGAAATACTAAAGACAAGCTTAAATAATGACAAAAATAATATGATGACAAACTAAGAAAAAGATTTTAAATTACCAGCTAAAATGACAACTAGCTAAAATAATGACAATCTAAATTAAAATCATGTTAAAATGACGACAAGATAAAATAAAGACAAGTTTAAATAAAAACAAGCTAAAATGATTACATGGTCTGCAGATATCATTTTATTAGGGCTAATTATTAAATCGAAAAATTATTGTGATAATAAGATGACTTCAAAACTTAAAAGCTTTTCAGGTGTTAAGTGAACGAATAACTGATAAAATAAACACCACCTCAATTAAAATAAATCTGTTTCATTACCACAGCATGCCATTAAAAATTTATAGCTGTTTGTAATAAAATTCTCGCGTTTTCTTTAAAACCGTAACGCTATAATAAAAATTAATTTTATAGGAAAATGCGTCCAGAGTTTGGATTAATTTAACATTTATAGCATGTAGAAATTTTATCGATTTTAAATTAGTTTAATAATTAAATTGGTTGTCGTTTGAAATACGGAAAAACGTTCTAGCAGTGAGAAAATTCCAGAAAGTTAACGAACAACTTTTATGACTGTGTTCAATCCATCAACCACTGAAACAAATAGGTTTAAAGTGGTGCAGTAGGGGACAAGTGGGTTTTATTGTTGCCGTCTTTCAAAGCAGGGTTGTAATGTTTTTATAAGAAACACTATCAGCCCCTGAACGACTACTTGAAAGATTTATTATCTTACTTTTGCTTTTTTACCAGTTTACTGCTAGTTAAGTGGTTTCTCACTATGAAATCTTGATTGATGACGAAAACTATTTAAAACTATTAAAAAGCAGAGGGTGGGAAATCACACTTATAGTTTACCCCAAGTACCTTCAAATCATGCATTTTGAACACCTTTTTTGAGTTTGCTTATCTTTGCGCATTTCATGAAAACAAATGTATACCAATTTGAATGTTAACGAAATAAGTAGCTGGAGTCAATGTTTAACATAAATATCTTGAAGAATGCCTGAACAAATTTTTAAAATATAATTTTCATTGTTGCCAGCTGTCAGGTTGTACGTACTAAAGACAAAACAATATTGATTGAGAATTAGATTATATTGATGTATGCTTGTCGTGTCTATGCTGAACGAGGTAGTTCCTCTTGAATGTTTCACTTGTCATTACCGGTACTCTTTTATTTTTCAGACATTGATGAATGCGCCTCGGCCCCGTGTCAAAACGGCGGTACGTGCGTGGACCTCGAGAACTCTTTCAAATGCGAATGTTCCGCGGCCTGGGAGGGTCACGTATGCCAAATTGGTAAGTGATACTTCATTTTTAATTAGTTCTTTCAGCATAAAACAGCCTTACGTAAGTATACGAGACCAGTTTTTATAACGACCATCCGTATTTGAATGCACAAAGACGTGTAAAAATCTCCTACTTTTGACAATTAAATAACACGGTTTACATAGTTGAAAGTCCAAAATGACAAGCTAAAATTCAGTAGAGGTGTTAGAGTCGATGATAATCCGACACTATAAAATATTTCACCTACCCTACAAAAAATTTATAAATATTAGCTAAAATAAAGACCATCTAAAATGAGGATAAGCCTAAAAAATCATCTGTCAAAATGAAAACAAACTAAAATGATGACGAAGAAAAATGATGACAAGACAAGATGAAATAAATTTCCCCAACATAACGATTAGCTAAAATAAAAACAATCTAACACAACGACAAGCTAAAATAGGACAATTTAAAATAAGTACAAACCAAAAAATCTTATACTAAAATGGAAACTAACTAAAATGATGACAAGTTAAAATAAAGACAAAGTATAAAAGGTAATACATGGCAAATTAAAATAAAACAAGCTAACATAGCGACAAGCTAAACATTGACAAGCCAAAATGAAAACAAGCTAAATTAGGACAATTTAAAATGAGTACAAGCCATAAATATCGTATGCTTAAATGAAAACAAAGTAAAATGATGACAAGCTAAAATAAAGACAAAGTAAAATAATGACAAGCTTAACTAATAAAAAGCCAAAATGCAGGCAAAATAAAATGACTTCAAGCTAATGTGATAACAAACTAAAATATAAACCAGTTACATAACGACAAGCTATGATGAAAACAAACTAAAATAACCTTATACTAAAGTGAATACAACCTAAAATGAAGAAAAATGAAAATGATAACAAGCTAATATGATGACAAACTAAAATAAAAACCAGGGTGCTCGAACCAGACGACCTAACATTTAGCCAAAATAAAGACAAGCTAAAATGATAACAAGCTAAATAACGACAATCTAAAATGAGGACTCAAATCAGGACAAGCCAGAAAAATATTAAGCTAAACTGAAAACAACTGAAATGATGACAAGCTTAAATAAAGGTTAAACTAAAATAATGTCAAGCTAATATGATGACAAACTAAAATAAAACCAGCTAAGATAACGACAAGTTAAATATAAGCTAAAATAAAGACAAGGACTAGCCATAAAAATATTTTGCCAAAATGAATACAATTTAAAATAATGGTAAGCTAAAATGTAGACTAAGTTAAATGACGAAGATGACAAACTAAAACAGAAGAATATAAAATAATCATATACCAGAATGGATACAAACCAAAATTAGGGTTAAATGACGATGATAATATGATGACAAACTAAAATACCATAATATACTAAAATACCAGAATAACATCTTATATTAAAATGAATACAAACCAAAATGAAGACAAGCTAAAATAAAGACAAAGTAAAATGATGACAAACTAAAATAAAACCAGCTAACGTAACGATAATTTAAATATTAGCTAAAATTAAGACAATCTAAAGTGAGGAAAAGCCAAAAAAATCTTATGCCAAAAGGGATACAAAATGATGAAAAACCTAACTAATGGTAATCCGATCTAAATGACGAAGAGCTAATAGGATGACAAATTAAAATAAAAAATATAAAATAATCTTATAGCAATATGAATACAAACCAAAATGAAGACAAGCTTAACTAATGACAACAAGATTAATAATGACAATCTAAAATGAGGGCTTAAATGTGGACAAGCCAGAAAAACCGTATGCTAAAATGGAAACTAACTAAAATGATGACAAGCTTAACTAATGACAAGCTAAAATGGCAACAAGCTTAATAAAGATCTAAAATGAAAACTTAAATAAGGACAAGCCAGAAAAATCTTTTGCTAAAATAAAAACATATAATATGATGACAAACTAAGATTAAAATTAGCTAAGCTAAGATTTATACAGGGTGTCCGAAAGAGAGACCCTAACTTAACGATTAGCTAAAATAAAGACAAGCTATATAACGACAAGCTAAAATAGAAACTAAAATGATGACAAGCTTAACTAATAACAAACTAAAATAAAACTAGCTAACAAGCTAAAATGAAGACAAGTGAGTACAAGCCAAAAAAGTCTTATGCTAAAATGGATACAAACTAAAATGATGAAAAGGTTAACTAATGGTAAGCTAAAATGCAGATAAGGTTAAATGACGACGAGCTAATATGATGGCAAATCTAAATACAAGAACATAAAATAGTCTTATACCAAAATGAATACAAGCTAAAATAAAAACAAAAAAAATAAAATAAATGGGAGAACGACAAGTTAAAATGAAGAGGCTAGTCTTCCGTACAAATTATTCTTGGGAAAGTATTTTAACATCTACATCTTGACGAATATTTGTATACCATCATCCAATTAAACCTCATCCTTTTATGCCACTTGCAAACAAAATAAAAAAATAACTAAAAAAGATTTACTGACGTTTCTGTTGATTTTTTCAGACGCGGACGAGTGCCTAACGAACCCGTGCATCAACGCGGTGTCCTGCACAAATTTGGTCGGCGATTATCAGTGCAAATGTCGAGTGGGCTGGACGGGGCAGAATTGCGACCAAAACATCAACGACTGCGTCGGACAGTGTCAACACGGCGCGACCTGCATCGACCTCGTCAACGACTATCACTGCGCCTGTCAACCTGGATACACAGGTAAGAAATGTTTACTCAGATTTTGTTTAATCTTTGTTTTGAATTTAGTCGCGGTCACAATTAGGGTTGCCACCCGTACTTTATAATAAAGTATTGTACGTTATTTTAGGTAATTGTACTCTATACTTTATGAGAACAATAAAGTACACAAAAATACTTTATTTCGCATGCTTTGATTTCTTTGGGATTTTGAAAAGTTTAGTCGTAAGTATTTTTTCGTTAAACGAAATTTATCGATGTCGCCACTCGCCAGCGCCACAGACGCATTGTGTTAATCTGGTTAATAAAGACGTTTGTCCAGGACCATAAGGGCGGTGGTTTAACCACCGTGGTTAAGCCATAAATCCGCCCTAGTTGAAAGAAGAAGAAGTCACAATTTCTTGTTTAATTTGTGCGAAGCGGTTTAAGTGCAATAAGAATACGATTTATAGTTTTATAGATTTATGCTAGGTATAGTAATTTACTATAATATTAGTAAATCATGGATACTACACATAAGTACACCTACAAAACGTAATTTCGATAGTGAAACAGATCAAATAGATAGTGAATATGTTACACCAAAAATATGTTTAAACCGCAAAAAAGAAATAAAAAATAGGTATGTTTTTAAATTTAAAAAAAAATAAATTGTACTTTATTTTGATACTATGTACTTTTTTTTTCTTACATATAATAACCAATGTACTTTAACTGCAAAAAAAAAGGTGGCAACCCTAGTCACAATCCACACAACAAGGTCTGTTCTATCTCATGCTAAAAATATTAAAAATCACTGCAACACTGCACATAGTTTAACGGCGGCCATTTTTGTTGTTTACAATTCTTGTGCTGTTTAATAATTGTTTTAAACGTTGTGTTTCTCACAGAGGCACTTGTAAGCCTCAAATAAGGCCTTTAAGTGCTAAGGACAACCATTTTACTGCTCTTTTATAATAAATATACCTTATTCTATCAGGGCTGTCAAATGACAATTTGAAGGTTAATTTGTGGGTTATAATTTAACCTTAAAATTGACATTTGAGAGTTTTATGACAGCCCTGATAGAATAAAGTTTATTTTTTACAATAGAGGAGTAAATTGGTTGTTCTTAGCACTTTAAGGCATCTTTTAAGGCTTACTATGAGAAACACAACGTTTAAAACGATTATTAATCTGTATAAACAGAGAACAAACCCAAAGCACAAAAATTGTAAACAACAAAAATGGCCGCCGTTAAACTGTGCAGTGTTGCAGTGATTTTTTGTATTTTTAGTACGAGATAGAACAGACCTTGGTGTGTGGATTGTGGTCGCGGTCAAATCTGTATGGGTGCACGTCATCAATGCGATATAATGACGTCAGCATTACCAACTTTGAATTGTAAAGTTCCTGCTGTTAAATTTTCTTTTTAAGGCCTAATTCTGATGTGTTATACAGGGTGTCCCAAAATTCAACGATATCCTTTGAAGGGCTGATAGACCATCTCATGACTAAGCAGAAAATCAAAATATGACCTTAGTAAAAAATCGTTAGTTTTTGAGATATTGTCATTTTTATGAATTTTGTAAAACTTGACACCTTAGATCAGTTTTTCGAGTGCCACAGCTACAAAATCTACTATTAATTTAATTTTGAATTGTAATTAATAGCGGTCCTATTCAGGGTTACGCAAAATAAAATATAATCTAAGAATTTAGAATGTTGTAGTTGTGGCACTCGAAAAACTGATGTTATGTGTCAAGTTTCACAAAATTCATAAAAATGCCAATATCTTAAAAACTAATGATTTTTTACTAAGTCATGTTTTGATATTCTGATTAGTCATGAGCTATTAGTCCTGTATACAAATATCATTTATTTGCGTATTGTTTACCAAGAACTGTTTGAAATAGTTTTTTCTACGAAATTATGAAAATAAAACCATTCACTCAGTAATTTTTGTGTGTGCCAGTTCCAATGGCATGTTGCACAACTTTTTGCAATGTTTTTCAAACGGATTTTTCTCTGTGCGCGACTATAGATGAGTTATTTTTAAAGATTTTCTTTGAAGAGTTATTTCTGCTAGAGTGCAGTTCTCCTTAAATCTCGAGAATCACTTATGCATTTTTCCGTTTCATTGAAATATAACATTAGCCGTGGAGTGCAGAGATACACGGGAAGTTTATTATCGATTGTTTTGAAAAAAAGCGGTTGCTCTGATTCCCTGATCTCTCGGATGAGATTAAGCGTATCGACTGATGGTTTATGAAGGAGATTTCGAGCAGATAGCACATTCGTCAGCGTCGGCATACAATAAATACTTTCCGTGGATCTGCTGCTCTGCAGTTCTTTCGTGCAAAACGTTGAATAATAATGGGCGTCGTTAAAATTCGCGCGGCTGACGTGTGAATGTGCATTTTTCGCGAGATTTTCGCATCGCACTTGAATATGCATTTAGGTCAGCTTCGAGTGCCTCTGTAATGCATCTTTGTGTTTTATGGTTTCAGGACGAGATTGCCATACCGATATCGACGACTGCGCCTCCAATCCGTGCAAAAACGGGGGGGAATGCGTCGATCAAATCAACGGGTACCGGTGCATTTGTCCGGTCGGCATCACTGGACACGAATGCGAGGTAAGAATTAAAAGATTTTTTAAATACTAGCAAATAAGATTAAAAGTTAATGACATCTAAAATAAAACTAAACTAAAAGTTAATGACATCTAAAATAAAACTCTATCAGAAACTAAGACGACAAATTGAAATGAACGACAAGATAAAATTACCACAAGATAAAATAAAAACAAGACAACATTAAGACAAGCTAGAATGAACGAAAAACTAAAATAACGACAAGTTTAGCTAAATACAAGCTTAAATGAAATTAGCTTAAACAAACGACAAGCTAAATAAACGGAAAGCCAAATGACGACAAGCTAAAATTACAATAAGCTAAAATGAACGACTAGTCTTTTGACAAATAAAAAAATGAACGACAAACTAAAATAAACGACAAGCTTAAGTGAAACATTGATAAGCTAAAAGGCAACTAGAAATATAATATATGTTAAAATGAAAATAAGCTAAAATTAAATTCAAATGACGACAATCCAAAATAAAGGCAAGCTTAAATGATATCTTCTTGACAAGCTTAAATATCGCTAAAGCTAAAATTAACAACAAGCTAAAATATGGACAATCTTAAATATCTCCAATAAACAAAATATATAGCGAGAAGCTTAAATTACAATAAGCTTATTAAATAAACGACCATAAAATATCGACCAGCTAATATCAACAAGCTAAAATATCTGCAAGCTAAAAGACATCTAAAAAAATAAATTACAAGCTAAAATAAAGACGAGCTTAAATTACAACAAGCTAAAAAGACGATAAACTAAAATAAACGAGAAGCTAAAAGAAAAAATGAACTACAAGCTAAAATAAAAAGAAGCTAAAATGAAATTATTATTACAAGCTAAAATATCGACAAGCTAAAATAAACGACAAGCTAAAGTATCTACAAGCTAAAAGACAACAGTAAAAATGAACTACAAGCTGAAATAAAGACAAGCTTAAATTAAAACAAGCTAACGAGACAATAAACTAAAATAAACGACAAGCTAAAATTAACAACAAGCTAAAATATCTACAAGCTAAAATAAAACTAAAAATTAGGCTAAAATAAAGACAAGCTTAGGTATATTACAATAAGCTAAAAGAACGATAAACTAAAAAAACCGACAAGCTAAAATATCTACAAGCTAAAAGACAACTCAAAGAATAAACAATTGTTAACAACCTAAAATAAAGACAAGCTAAAAGATAACCGAAAACTTAAACTACAAGCTAAAATAAAGAACAAGCTTAAATTACAGCAAGGTAAAAGGACGATACACTAAAATAAACAACAAGCTAAAAGACAAATTAAAAATGAACTACAAGCTAAAAAAAGACAAGTTTAAAATACAACAAACTAAACCCAAGCAGCAATTTGTGCCCGAACTTGGGCACAACACTTTTTGTTTCCAAATTGTTTCGACACAAATCGGAAAACTTATGTCTAAATGGAAACTGTGTCCATTCTTCAAATTTGTGGTTGCTTTGGGTCGACACCTTGTGTCCAAAAAAAGTATGGGTCTAAGTAGCATTATTTCAGAAATATGTGCCCAAGTTGCGTCGCTTTTGTGCCCTCTTGGAAACAGTAACACAATTTAGACTCATTAGGGTCGACACTTAGTCGACTCAATGTTTCCATATTGTACCTTATCAATCTGTTTCCATTTTATTACCAAATTGAGTCAAGTGGACGCAAAAGTTTCCATTTAGCTGCATTTTAGATTCATGGTGTCTGATTTGTTTCAAAAATGTGTGGGGCGGGCGCATTAGGTTCCAAAGGGACACATTGTGTAATTCGCCATATTTTTTTGTTGAAACAGATTCGACGCTTTAATTTTTTTACATAATTTAACTTTCTGGTGAAATTTAAACTTAAAATTTAAAAAATGCAATGTTTTAAGTTACATAGAAGGCACATACGTCTAGTTTTGATAAAAATATAGGGAAAAAAAAATATTTTTAATTAAAAAAAATTATAAATACTTATTATTTGTGAGGCCCTATCAATTTTTAAAAGTATTTTGCTTATAATCACCAATAAAATTTTGTTCGCAATAAAAATGAAGGTAACATATACCAAAAATGTTAGATTTAAGTTATATTATATTATATACATAATTATTAATAAGACATCACGCCTTACTTTGCCTCTTTGTTTGTTTCCAATTCGTTTCCAATTAAAAATAGTTAGTGTCCATTTGGGTTTATATTAGGACACAATACAGTACTTTGGCAACAATTCGGAACAAATGGTGACCATTTAGTAACAAACAAATTAGAAACTCTTTGGGCATTAATCGGTCACACTACCGGGCACATTGTGGGCAAATTTTAAGAAAAAATCGGGCACATTTTGTGGACAAACTATGGACACTTTTTGGTACAACTTTCATCACCACTTTGGTCTCATTTTCCACACTTAGTGGTCTTAAAGTGGACTATGTGTCTTTAAAATGTGTCGTGTCCAAAATCATGTTTCGACGCTGTGTCGACACATTGCCCAAAATGTGTCATTCTTTGCTGCTTGGGAAAGGACGATAAAATAAACGACAAGCTAAAATTTCCACAAGCTAAAAGACAACTAAAAAAATAAACTACAAGCATAAAGATAACTGAAAAAATGAAATACAAGCTAAAATAAACAACAAGCTAAAAGGACGATAAAATAAAATAAACAACAAGCTAAAATATTTACAAGCTAAAAGACAACTAAAAAAATTAACTACAAAGTAAAATAAACAACAAGACCAAAATTTAGTCAAGCTTAAATGAAATCATAACGAAAAGCTAAATAGTTACCTATTTAAAGTGCTAAAATAAAATATTCAGGGCAAGCTAAAATAAACAACAAGGTAAAATATTAACAAACTAAAAAACAATTGAAAAAAACGACAAGGTAAAATATAGAAAAGTTTAGATGAAATCCCCCTTCTTCAAGACAGAATGTGACCCGCAGGGTCATGGGACGAATTATATAATTTGACTCCCCTATCCACTAAAAAAGAATTTACGATTATTTTTTTTATATTATGACTAAAAATGGAAGAAGTAAATTTCATTCGATTTACTTTGTCACGTGACATGAACTCCCGTTGTTAGGCATCAGTGATTGGCCGAATTCATTATAGGTACACTGCGATTTGGACCAATCGGGTAGTTGCACTTCCAAAAACATCATAGTCGCCTCTGGTATACTAAATAAAAAACAAATGATTTAATATTTAAATCTTACAATGTGACCAGTAATTTCCTCTGAAGGAAAAGAAACTAAATAAAAAAATAAAATTATGCCTGTAAATACTTAAGAGACAGTTGAACAATCCAAAACGATGCAATTAACCACCCAACTAAACAAAAAAACGAGACAAGGTAAATCCTTTTTGTGCGAGATGATGTCTTTGTCCGCTGACGTGCCGGACCCTCTTTTGTAAGTCGAAAAACGTCGCGGCAACGTGTAAAGAGACACGCCCACGTGACGGCTCTATAACCGACCATTACCTGCTAATGTCCCCATAGGGCCTCGCTGGTGTTTTCAGCGTTGCCAACTGCAGGGAATTTTCCCTTTTTCGGGAATGTTTGTACTTTGTAAAATGTGAATATTTAAAAGAATCTGAAGTTAAATATTTGTTAATTTATTTTATAAATTTATATATTTTTAAGTATTCAAGATTGTTGACAGCAATTATGTTTTACTATTTTGAATTTACAAAAAACTCAAAAGGGAATTTTGTGTTAAAACAGGAAACTTTTAGCAACGTCCTGGGGAACTTTAAAGAAAACAGGTTGGCAACACTGGGTGATTTCTTAACACCGAGATTTGCACTCGAGAAACGAGCCATAATTATTTCTAATGTTTATTTTGTTGTTTTTAGAACGACTTCGATCATTGCAATCCGGACCCTTGTCAAAATGGAGCACCGTGTTTCAAGGCTCAGGGAGATTATTACTGTCACTGCCCCGAAGGCTGGCAAGGAAAGAACTGCAGTCAGCACAGATTAACGTGTGAAAATCCGCCATGTAACGGTGAGTATATGAATGGAAAAAGTTGCTGGTTTACAATTTAAAATTGAAATAAATGTACATTCGATGTCACTATTTTATGGAAAAATACCTTAAAATCCTTAAATCTAGTGTTTTTTGTTTCCCCTAGACAGGTTAGCCATACTTTTTACAACATTTGTATATTGCCAAAAGTCAAATGTAATATTTGTATTTTAAGTAAAGTTGAAGTTTTTTCAACATTCAAGTGTTGCAATAAGTATTTATACAATATCTGCAAGTCTCCAAAACTATTAGTTATGCCTTTTAATGTAAATACAACTCTTGAGTTTTTGCAATATATGATAGGTAATTGTCAAAACTATTTATAATATTTAACTTTTCTTCATAAAAGCTTTACTTAAAGCACAATCGCATAAACCTTAACAATTACAAAGTGTGTTTTTGCAATCTATGACAATTGCAAAAAGTATTTTGACTTTTATACGAAAAGAGAAGTATCGCCCAATCTTAAATATAAATTATATTAGGTAAAGTTATCATTAGTTAATTCTGCACCAACAAATGTACTTACCGAATTGGATCCTTTGGCAAAACATGAAAATGCAACGATTTAGTTCTTGAATTTTATTTACAATTAAAAACACAATAATTCACCATGATCCTTTAAATAAAATACACACACTAACGTAACTATATAAGCATTTAAGCGTTTCTTAATCAATGATATAAAGAATAATTAATCGAAATCGAGTACTAAACCAGTTTTTTAGTTTTTTCCTTGCAACGTAAAACACAAATAACGTGCGCGATTTAGCTGTGCAATTGAACAAAACTTGTCGAGTAAGACTTCTGCCTTCCTCTCTTTTGTGAAAAAACTTTAAAAATGATGTATAGTTCGTCCATAGAAAACCATGCCATATAATTTTTTTTGTTTTAATTTTTGAGTGGTAGGCCAAAATACATCAGAAAAAAATAGTGGCATCGAATGTTCATTTTTGCTGTAAACCGGTGTAATTATTCAGTTGGTTGGTAATTAAAACTGTGGTGTTAGTTATGAAACTCGGACGGTGGTCCGAATTTAAATACATTTCCAATTCAACTTCTGATAGATTGGAACGGGCACCCAAATCAATTATTGTCGAGTTAATTAAAAAGCATACCGAAATTATTTCGGATTGATTGGTTTTCGTAGATGTTGGAAACGGCGTTAGACGCGCTTTGTGGATTATAAATGGTTTTTAATTTGGGCGCGAGTGTCCAGTGTTAATATTGTACATGAATCTCCCGCGATGAATGTAGTTGACAGGTAATTTTAAGACACCCGAAGTGGGGAGCCGCAACCGCATGACGCCGGGACGTCAAGCTGCGCAAGAAATGAAGCCGGACCCGTTACAGCCTCTTCCCGTCTCACTGACCAAGCCTGCCTGCTGTATACACAGTGTTTAATTGACAAGACCACTAAAATTCTTAATAGTCATCGAAATACGCTGTGCTACACACATCTACATACATACACATATTTAAACATTTTTTTCTACACTTTGTTCATTATTTTACGTCCCAGCATTTTAACAAACTACTTCCTTGCTCAGTTGCTTAACAACTTAATAATATTCATTGTTTTTAAACTTGATACAATCTAAACCTAAAATAATCTTTCTAGGTACCCATAGATACCCTTCAAACAAGGTTCTCTGGCATCAAAATCTAAACCGCCACCAGAAATTGGCAACAATTTTAATGTTAATTTCCTCGCAAACCGCCCATTTGATTTTGGTGATTTTTTGGTGACAGGGTTACCAGATTCTTAAAATCGGGACATTTTGTATGAGTTTATCTTAATTACAAAATTAACAAAATAATACAATGCAAATTGTAAGTTTGACGTTACTTAATTATTGTTGATTTTTTTTAAAGAATCTGGTAACCCTGCTTTATGCCAAAACTATTTTTTTTAATAATAGATAATATAATAATACTTACTTTTTATTATTTTAACCAAAATTATACTTATACATCTTTTAAAAGAAACACAGGCAAAAATATTAAAAATTTACATGTTACTCCAAAATCTTTAATTATTTAATTTACTTACTTAAGACCATTTCCGGTGAAACCAGAAGTGAAAAAAGTATGTTAAATATGTCAAAAAGTTCTAAATTACACTTTACACCCCTGTTTCATGACCCTACATAAAATACCAAATTTTTGCGATGAACCACGAATTTAATAAAAAATTGCATTTTTATTAAAAAAATAATAATTCAGAAACGACGAATTTAGCCAACTCGCGACTTTTGGTGAAAATTGTACATATTATTAACTTCAAACGAAAAATATATAATTTTGACCTCAATTTTTTTGCCATTAGCAGAAAAAACAATTAAAAAAAAAATTAAGTAAATTCACTTAATTTTTTATTTTTTTTAGTATGTACAAAAATTATAACGATCGAAACATTTTTGTCCAAGTTATCGCATTTTCAAGAAAATGTCACTTGAAAAAAGAAAAAAAATCAATGTTTTTGTCCATTTTTTTTAAATTTCCTACGGGTGAACAAAAAAAATTTAAGCAAAAAGAAAAAATACGGGCCTCATCGATTTCGGTAGAGAAACTAAATAAAAAATTCGTTGAAGAATAACGAACCCCTTTTTGCCTAGTCGATTTGAGATGGAAAGACCCTATACGCTAAATAAGCATCGCTTCTAACTACAACTTATAACAATCCCCTGTCAAACGCGTAAGTTATAAACTAATGTTTGAGAATTAGGCTGGAAAATGTTAAAAATATCGAGAGAAAAAAACGTGGAACGATTTGTTGTGTTGTTGGGTTTTTTGGAGAGGAAATCCTGGGTTGAGTTTTTACCGGTTTCCCAATAAACAGTGTAAATTCGAATGAAACAATAAATTGTACATATTAAATACACATTTTAGAAATAAATTCGAACATCGTTATGCAATATTAAAAGCGTTGATTGAGAAATCCTTCACTCAACGGTAAAAACCCATAAACGGTTATTATGTTGCCAATAATATCCCCATCCGAGAATTCGGGAATGTTTTCAGTAACTTTAAAAGAAACTTTCAAAATGAAAATAAATTCCCGACTGGAAACTTTTCTTAAAATGGAAACTTTCCCATCTCTAGATAATACACATTTGCCTGTTTGCTGCGCCGATACAAAATTTAACAATTTCTTTTTTATATTAAAGGTTTCGATAGTTGCGCCGTGGTTTCAGTCGGTGGCAGTCGTTCTTCAGCCCCCAGTTTATGCGGTGAGAATGGACACTGCGTTAAACAAGAAAACGACGTCTACAAATGCCAATGTTCACCGGGGTACAAAGGAAAATACTGCCACGAGAGTACGTCTTTGATAAAAAAAGTATATTATAAGTATTAACTAATTTATTTTTTGTCTTGTAGATATCAATGATTGTGAGGATCATCCGTGCAAAAATGGAGGAACCTGCGTGGATAAAGTGAGCGCTTTCCAGTGTATTTGCAACGAGGGATGGGAAGGAGCTTTATGTAGCATAAGTAAGTTTTAAGTTGAAATATTTCTTGACAAGTTAAGGAGTAGTAATTTGCCAAGTGAGTCCATGATTTTCGACGTTATAATGAAAATGAAAAATAAATATTAAATCATAATCTACTAAGTAGTAGAAAGTTACCACATAAAATTTTTTGAAAAAACTTCATACTTTAATTTACAATGTTTGATTTAAAATAAATTGTAGCATTTTTAGAGCTTCTTTAACCAATTATTGGCCAAATTAGCATTTTTTATTATTAAAAAAAAGTAACCAAAAAAAATACCAGATTTTTAAAAATTTTATTATAAATTGCATTTATTTTTTACCATTCTCCAAAATTTTTATTATTATTATTATTTTATTAATAGTTTATCTAATTAGTAACTTAAGTTACTTGTTAAAGTAACTAAAGAAACATTCAAGTAACTTTAAAGTATCTTAGTTATTCAAAATGATATTAGAAACTTTCATAACTTATCTTAGATACTTTCTAAAGTATTTTGTAATTAAAGATACTTTCAACTCAAAGTATTTAGTTACCTGAGGTTATTTTGTTTAAAGTATCTTAGAAAGGTAACTTGATACTTTTCAGAAGTATCTATCCCAGCTCTGGGCTCACTTGGTAAATTTCTACTCTAAGACATTTCTCACTTTTTACGGTATTCATTCGGTTTAATTTAGGAGTGCCGCAAGGTTCTAATTGTGGCCCCTCACTATTTCAATATTTATTAAGGATTTTCCAACATTAATCAAATTATTGCTGCCGGACGTTTTTATCACTTCATTATTTCTTGAAAACTTTATTATTAATTTCATTTATTTTTTACCAATCTCACAAATTCTCATTAATTTTTTATAAATATTTTACAAGAAAATAATTTTAAAATCAAATGCTACAATTTTTTTTAATTAAACATTGTAAATAAACAAATGAAGTTTTCCAAAAAAATGTAGGTGATAACTTTCTACTACTAATTGAGGAGCATCCGTGCAAAACCGGCTAAATCCATTTTATTCAGTTTTGTTTTTTTTTATTTTGCATCTTTGGGTTCATTTCTATCGACAACCAAGATAATTATGTTTAAATCCGACTATATCCATGTTAAAATCACATTTAAAAGGTAGCTTTAGGAGTAAAACCGGCCAAATCCACGTTTTTATAGCAAACCCGGCTATATCCAATAAATAATAATATGTGGCTTGGATATGTCGATACTACTACTAAAATTTGTTCTGTTTTTTCATGTTTGCACTAAATTTATTTTGTTAATATTTTTGAATAATAAAGGTTTTTTTTCACATTTTATTCGTTTTTTATTCGGTTTTCGAGCAAAACCGGCTATATACAAAACATTTTTTGAAATTTTGGCCTTAATATAAAGTTTTTGAAACGAAAGTATGTCTTATAAATCAAGTACCACAAAGCCCACAAAACTCAAGTTTGCTTTTTCTTTTATCTGTAAAGGCCAGGAAACCGAGAGTTTTTGCCATTTTCCCAACATTTTATTAAAGTGGATATAGCCGGTTTTGCACGGATGCTCCTCAATTATGATTTAATATTTATTTTTAATTTTTATTACAACTTCAAAAATCATGGGCTTACTCAGAGCTAGCAGTATCTTGAAAAAAAGATACTTAAAAGTAACTTAACGTATCTTTATACTTTATTTTAAATACTTTTTATGTTGGACAGAAAGTATCTTTAACTTGGTTACTTTGAAAAACTATCTTGTAACTTGTGTCTAAAAAAGTTACTTGGTAAAGTAACCAGATACTTTTTATATTGGACATAAAGTATCTATAACTAAGTTACTTTGGAAAAGTATCTTGTAACTTGTATCTAAAAAAGTATCTAAGTTACTCTGTAAAGTAACTAAGATACTTTTTAAAGTAACTTAGATACTTTCTTAGAGAAAATTGGGGGAATTCCAGAATGATTCAAAGTAATTACCTTGTTACCACCTTTTTACGGTGGTGACAGTTAGGGTCCAGCAAACTAGGGCCCGGCCCGCTAGCTCAAGGGAAGGGAGTGGTTCGACTTAAAATTAAAATGTATATTATGGGCGCCAGATAATTTTTGCGGTACAGATTCTCCAGGCCTTCAAACTATCAAACTTCTACTAGTTACTATTCCCGATAACAGGTTTGGAATAAGGCAGCAACAAAATAAAGTAAGAACTATTTACAAAATTTAATAATAAAATATAAGATGTATAAGTGTAAAATTAATAAATATAATATATAAATATTACTGATTATCGTTAATACCAATATTCGTATTGTAATGCTTAACAAAAAAATAATTCTGGTAAGTAAGGAAACTTAATTATTAATAATTAGTAATTGTAATTATTCTAATTTGGCATAAATTTGATCAAATTTGTTTACCGCACATAAATTAAAATTTTCTATTCATCAAGTTAATAATTAATTTTAAATAATACAAAATATAATACCTAAACACATCTTAAAAAAACAAAAAAAAAACTAATATTAAACTTATTTTTCAGAACTCCTTGTAATAGATATATATTTAACGATCCTACCTCGATTCAAACCTCAACTTGCGGTTGTATGTTGTAACGGTAGAGCTGCAGAAATGATTTATTCTTTTACTCCGTGACGATAGAAATCCATACAAACTGATAGGTGGCAAATGGAAAATAAAATGGAGGTCGCCTTCCAGGGTCCAAAGTTCGCAATTCCAACTAAATTAGAGTTTTCCAGTTGATTTTTACCCAATAAAGGAAAACCAAAAATACATTCTAAAATACAATAACAAGTAAGCGTTTGCAGGGAACAAAAAAAAATAGAGAAGACTTCTTTAAGAGAAAAATTAAATATTAGAGAAACTTACCACGCCAACTTCAATTACAAAATTCAGCAGTTGCGAAAAATCCGGAAAATCCGTTCAGCTTACTACTACCAATAGTACAATAAACTAGTCGCTGATTACATGTGAATAGGCATATAAAATCCGCTAATAGCGATGGTTAACTAACAAAACCCAAGTTTAGCCCAACACTGCAACGAACTGAATGACGAACAAAATGGCTCTAGAATCCGCGGGAAAAGTAGCTTAGATGGTAACAATATTAACGACACTGAGAAACCTGTAATTACTTAAGTTAAGAATATTACCCATTTACAAAATTAAGAATAATATTATATAATATTAAGAATATATTATATTCTTACATATGTATGGTTTACCAACTGGTAGAAAACTTCCAAAACATAATAAATAATTGTAATAATTGTTTTATAAATTTATTTTTATTCCCTAAAGAAATCTGCACTGAAGCGTAAGCAGCATTGTAACAATAGGCAAAAAAAAAACGTAAATAAGGTAAAGGTCGCTTTATTGTTTATCAATTAGTTATTAATCAATAATACAGATCTCACTACAGGTATTAAATAATAATTGTTTCTAAAGGATAATGTGTCAATTTTTAAATTGTAACAACTCCCCCTTTTCTCCCTCAAAAAAAAAAGATTCTATCTTTTTTTTCCTCAATCAAATAACGTATCTAATGATATCACCAATACATAAACCTACTAAACAATCTAATGCACAATAACCACATTTAACGTGTAAATATAATTGACATTCAACTATCCGGAATCTTGACCCTCCAAACTATCCGAGGACTCACTATCCTTAGAGCAAGGTTTTAAATCCTTAGCATGCCAAATTCCTTTTAACGTACCATCATCTTCCTCTAATTCATAAGTGGCACACCCAAGTTTTTTCCTAACACGATATGGCCCTACAAATTTACCGGATAATTTTGCAGTGAAATAATTTGCACTGTTGGATAAGTTAAAATTCCTTCGCCAAACCCAGTCACCTTCCTTATATACCACATCCCTACGCCGAAGATTGTAACGAGCTCTTGTTTGATTATGTGACTTAACCAATCTAGAATACACCCATTTCCGCAAATTGTCAAGATTTTTAACTACTTTGGTTCCTTCAAAATTTTCCGCACCCTTATACTCGTCACCATGTAAATGCATTTCCTGACCAAAATTTATGAAATATGGAGACTGACCTGTTACCTCATGTTTGGCAGACCTTATGGCACAAGCAAGTTTTTGAATATTTTCATCCCAAGTTCTATGGTTATCATTGACATAAGCAGCAAGCATCGTCTTCAAGACCCTATTAACTCTTTCTGCCGGATTTGTTTGCGGATGATAATTTGGATTAAATATCGTTCTTATGCCATAATGAGAAGTTAATTTAGAAAATTCCTTCCCCTTAAATTGGACACCGTTATCGCACAAAATAAATTCAGGAATTCCAAACATCATAAACACCTGATTTTCCAATAAATTAACTACAGTCTGAGCCAAGGCTCTCCTAATAGGAAAAAATAAACTAAATTTACTAAAACAGTCACTAACTACCAGAATATGCATATTACCATGTGAACTTTTTGGCAGTGGCCCTACTAAATCAGTACAGACAGTTTGCCAAGGTCGCGTAGCGATTGGGCGCTTACCCATTAATCCAGCAGGACGTTTTTGTTCCGGTTTAGTCCTTTGACATACCTGACAATGGTTAACATACCGTGTTACGTCAGACTTCATCGAAGGCCAATAATACAAGCGGGCTACACGATGAAAAGTCTTATAGATACCCAAATGTCCCGATGTAATCTGATCATGACATTCTTTCAACACTTCACCCCGTTTTTCTTTCGGAACCACAGACTTCCAATAATCTCTACTATCTCTCAAGTCTGGAAAATCACACTTAACATATTTATACAGTTTGTTATCTGTCACCCGCCAATGCGAAAATTGTAAAGGCTTTTGTTTGACTAAATCTACCATCTTTAAATACCACTTATCCTTTACTACAGAAATCTCAACCATACTAATGTCCACCACATCACCAACAGGAACTGACCTAGATAAACAGTCGGGAACAACGTGCTCTTTCCCCTTTCTATGAATTATTTCGTATTGAAATTGCTGCAGTCTAAGAGCCCAACG